CTCACACTCTCTCCCTCATTTCTCAGAGAAATACAATACAATCAGTGTGGACGTAGCCCAAACCTTGGGGTGAACCATGATAACTCTTCTGTTATTTACATTTCATGCAAATTCACTGTCGAATTAACATTGTACCAAGACCTCCGGTTTTGTACATCAACATTTGCCGCCGTCTGTGGGAATTGATACGAAAAGTTGTGTTGGTTCTCTTTCATTTTTTTCGCCTCCACCGTGAATCTGCAAAATCATAAAAACCCAGAAACAGAAAACACCCAGATCTCATTTTAAAGATACCACATTTTTTCCAATCATTTCCTAGAAAAACCCAGAAACATAAAAAATCCAGAATCTGAAACACTCAATCTCTCTCTTCTCTCTCTCCTCGCTCTCCTCCGCGCTCTCAATCTTGGCTCTCCTTCCCCACCATCTTAACCGTCTCTCTCAGACTCAATCAGACAAAGGAAGCCGCCGGAAAGAAATGAACCAATTTCCAGGATCCATATCCCTAACCCCATACGACCTGTCCTGTTCTTCGAAGCTCGTCCGACCTTCTGGGTTCGAGCCTTAAAGATCGTCGTTTCCCATTTTCACAACCTCGCCCACGATGGAGCCCGACCGCGCCCACTTCGCGACTTTGAATCGGAGAAATGCCGGAGAAGGGGCTACGCTGGCCGTCATCGCAGCAGTGGACATGGAGTCAAAGGTTCGGCCATCTGCTTCAATGGCGAGTTGGGTTGTTAATGGCAGTGGTTATCGTCGAAATGATGGTGGTTTGGAGCTTCGATGCCACAACTATGCAGAGCTTCGTCGAAGCTACGAGGTCCCGCCAAGCTTACCTCATTACAAAGGAAGTATGGGTCGGGTCGCAGCTGGGTTTGAGCCTAATTTAACAAAGAATCTTCTGGCTCGGTGGCTAGCTCCGGGGGGAGAGCCCTGTAAAGATTCTAAAACGCGAGAAGCTGGGCGTAGAGAGCCAAGATTGAGGCAGAATGGTGGCTATTTGGTCTTGTAGCAGTTTATCGGGGATCAACCTGAGCTACACCATTCTCACTTTCTACATTCAACAGCGAGGGATGAGGTTCCGAGATCAATCTTCGTCGTCCCCATATGAGACGCCATCGTCGACCCCAACCTTGGGAATGCCGTCGTCAACGTTTCAGCAGCAACAGCTGCAGACACTGTTGTTTAACCTTCAGCAGCTTTATTCTCCTAGCGCCTTAGAACCTGAGGGTCCATTCTATATGCCCTCGTTTGAAGAGCCGACGCCCTTCCCTGACGTCAACTTAATGAATAAGATTGATCCTGTTGATCTTATCCATTTCTCCCTCCCCAGTCGCGATAGTCAAACTCAGGAAAAAGACCTCTGACCCGACTCGACTTCTCCGTCTTCGACGCCACTGGAGCTGACAACCCCTCTTCTTCGTATATCTATCTCCTGCTCCTCCTGCAGCTACCCCAAAACCAAGTCTCAAATCCGCCCTCAAACGGCCGAAGCCCACTGAATCGACCCCAGAAGAAACTCTGCCGGAAAAGAAAAGGTTGATATTTAAGACCACGATGGATGCCTCAGAGCAAACGGGTGAAAGAGGCTGCAAAAGATAGCATCACATATAAAGACTCTTGCGAAATTCAGTAAGGCATCAAAGCTTGCCATCCAGCTGATTCAGGAGGGAAGCGTCAAGGCTGAAACCAATGATCTATTTATTTATTTTTTTCAAAAGCCACAATGGCATCTCTCACTGCTTGTACTGATCCTTCCATGCGAGCTGACTTCCATGCACTGTTTTCAGCAGCACAAGATACCTCTGAGTGTCTCAGTAAAAAGCAGAAAAATTAATTAACTACGGTCTCCATCTTCCACTGCGTCAGCGCCGGCTTTGCTACTTTCCAACTCGTCGTCTCTATCTTCCACGGTGTCGGCGCGGGCTTTAGTGTTTTCTAACTCAGGAAAACGAATTGACCAGGCGGAGAAGAAGAAGTACCTGAAGCAGGTGACGGGGCGGCACAACAACACAGAGCTTCAGGGGAGAGATTCTATTTAGGGCCTCGTATTTAGACCTCGTATAAATACTCGAGGGATTTAAATGTAATTATGTAATAAAGGAATGGGCAAATATGTAATTAGGGGAGGAGCCCTTATTCTATAAAAGGGCCTCCTTACCCTCACAAACCCTAAGCCTCTCCTATCTAGGGCAAAGCTCTCACATTCTCTCCCTCACTTCTTAGAGAAATACAATACAATCAGTGTGGACGTAGCCCAAACACGATAACTCTTGTGTTATTTACATTTCATGCAGATTCACTGTCGGATTTACGTTGTACCAAGACCTCCGGTTTTGTGCATCAACAAGCTTCAACACCCTATGCTCTTCATAAGCCACTCGAAGACAACCGATAAGGGCATCTAGGCGTGTGCCGGAGTGGGCATAGACAAGGGTTTGCTGTGTTAGGGAGTCCAAAGAAAGGGCAAATATGATTTTGAAAGGATAATATTACAGTCACCTACGCCAAGAATAAATCTCGTTGTGGTTGGAGGATGAGGAGGATGGAAGAAGTTTGAACAATTAGGGTTCTTCATGATTAAATGTGCAATTATAATTACAATAATAATTTATAGTAAAACAAGGAGAACTAGTGCCATATTGGAAATCAAGCACCTTTGTGGCTCTCCTCACCTGAATTCGAGGCTCTTGCATCTCTTTTTCCCCTTTCCTCTTAGAACCCCATCAGTTGTACCATCTCTCTAATAGAAGTATGATCTACCAATGCATATGAGTCTCATCTACATTAGAGAGATAGTACAAATAGATGGTAAGAATAACACCTTTGATTTTAAATTGTGTTTCTCATATAGATATACAAATAGATAAAAATTTAGGAGCCCTCTTTGAGATATGGTGTTAGGTTAGATAATAACTTATATGGAGCGAGTTCACAGCTACGTGACATCTTGACCCAATCATACATTGTCATGTGAAGAGAAACTTGCACATGATAATGCATTATTGGACAAAGGATTTGATGTAGCAGCGAACCCTATCCATATAAGTCCTTCTCCTTGGGCCATTGCACTTGTCGCCCTTGCTCAGGGACAACCTTAATAGGACCATTTATTTATACCAATGAGACATTTAGGCAGCCACTTGGAAAGCTCATAAGAAGTAAAAGTCTGTTTACTTATCATGTATGGAAATGTGAATGAATGGGTATTAATTCTCAATCCTTCTTTTATTAACACCTAGAGACCAATTAATTTTGGGTATGAAATACCTAAAAAATGAAGGAATCCTAAACATAGGAGAGATTGTTATTTGTTCATCCAATATCTAATCATTCACATCTCCATTCCTAATCCCTCTTTTATTATTATTATTATTTTTTTATTTTATAAACCCCGCCCCACCCCCACTAGGCCTCGAACCTGGGACCTAATCTACCCCAACTCCTAATCCCTCGTTCCTTCATGTCCTCATATCATGTAACAATGCTCTGAAACTCTTCAGACACTTGAGTGTTGCTAAAGAAAGTTGATATTTACCCTAAAACTAGTTGGTTATAGAGAAAGCCGTAACCCAACTCCTTATTTGCAAGATTTTTTTTTTTTTTTTCAATGACATTTACACTCTCAATAGTGACTACAAGGTAGAATGGGTAGGACCACTTACGTATGGTTTCTCAGATATTTTCCTACGCTTTTGGGGTGGGCTGCAACTTAATTAACAATTAACTTCTTTATCAAAAACCAATCACAATTAAGTGTTTAAACATATTAAGTTGGGCTAATCTCAACTTCCAATTGTGGGTTTGGGCTTCTGTCTTCTGAGTGCATGTGAAAGGATTGCAATTGCTTCTTAAACATTGGTCCTGATATGTATGCAATTCGATTTGTCAATATAATCTGGATATGGATAATTTTAGAAAGAAAAAAAACGACAGTTTGTTTGACCAAACTGCCAGAAAAAGGCCAACAAGGGGGGCATACGGCCGCCAATGTCTTAAAAAGAAATGCCAAAGATGGCTTGGCACCCACCACTAGGACAATAAAGTAGTATGACCTCACTCTGCAGCTGGCTGGCTGGCTGGCCAGCCATCAAAACCCTCACCACCTCACACATTACATCATAATAATTCCCATAAATGCGTGCACCTCCATAATTTTGCTTTGCCAATCCAGTCGCCACCTTATCAATTAAACAAACGTAGTCAAAGACCTGTAGCTCACCTGAATAAGAACGTATTTTTATCTTTGTATCTCAAATTGTATTTGATTTTCAATACATTTGTATATCACTTTCATCAAAATATATATTATTGAGAATATGAATCTCACATCAGATAAGAAAAGACTTTGTATGTGCTTATAGGAAATTAGACTATTCTATATATTGTCAATAGTTTTATAGTGAAACCTCAATTTTCTTCACCGTATCAGAATAGGTTGACCCACATGTGAGGCTCTCAGCGACCACACATGCTCCATATCATCCAATTATGTTGTCTACATGTTTGGCTTGAAAATTCGCCACATGTAAGGGTTTGTGAGGATGTGAAGGTAAACGAGTCCCACATTGGTGAAAAGGGAAAGTTTACAAGAGTTTATAAGAGGTTGGAAACCTCTACATTGCCAATTGGTTTCTCAATAGAACCTTAATTTTGTTCATGATCTCAGAGGATGTTGTCCCATTTGTGAAGGGCGCGTATTGAGAGTTTAAAAATTCCCCACACGTGAAAGGCGTATTGAGAGTTTGAATTCTACATCAAAAAAGAAGAGACATTTCATGTTCTTATAAATAATGGAAAAAATCTAACCTTTCTTTATATATAAATACAAATAAATGAAAATACGTCAATGTATCGTCACAAAATGCTCAAAGCGCTTTTCATGGCGAAATGGAGATTTGCTTTTTCTTCCTAATCAAAGAAAACATTCCAACACATATTCACCTATCAGATTAGACCAAACTAATTTATTATAGCACACCACCATGCACTATATATCCTGCATGCCACAACCCATATTTTACCATCAAATTTGACATCAAAGTATTTTTTTCCATCGGAAAAAGAAACATTAGTATGGAGGGGAAGAGAGGACCAGAGAATAATAACCAGCAGAGGGAGCCGAAGGTACGAGGTCAAAACCCGTATAGAGGGATTCGGAGGCGGCCGTGGGGTAAGTTTGCAGCTGAAATTCGTGACCCTACGAGAAATGGAGCACGGCTATGGTTAGGCACATTTGAGACAGCTGAGGAGGCAGCAAGGGCTTATGATCGAGCTGCTTTCGGCTTTCGAGGCCATTTAGCCATACTCAATTTTCCAAATGACTACCAATATCACAACCCTTCAAGCTCTATGAGCACTTTATCTTCGTCTTCATCTTCTGCTTCTTCCTCATCTTTATTTCCGGGCGTGGATCCTGGAAGGAGTATTAATTTTGGAAGAGGCCAGGAAGAAGACGAAGTTATTGAGTTTGAGTATTTGGACAACAATCTCTTGGAGGACCTTCTTGATACAAAAGAAGATCATCATAGGCAGGGGCAACCAACACAGTAAGCAAAGAAGTTCACGGATATTTAGCATTCTTTGTTTGGGTTTTTCCTATTTAACTCTTTACCTCCAAAAAATTGAAAATAAGAGGTACTTTTAATTTGCATCATCTGAATTTGTTCCATAGTCTCCAACTGTTACTGTTGATTTTTTTTTTTCATAGAAATTATCATTTGGTTGATTTAATTCGGAGTACAATCATAATCTTGAAAGATGAGATATTGAATAGTTTTAAGAAGATTGTAGTGCCAAACTAATGCGCTGCCCAATTGATAAAGCGGGGATATTGCTAACCGATGAACAGAAAATTTTCATCTTAGACAAAGGACTGAGAACCCCTTGTTTCTATGATCCATTATCCCAACCAATTTTCATCTTAGACAACATACAAATGGTAGTTTTATTAAGTTATTAACACACCACAATTTGTTGAACACATTTCATTTAAAAATTTAGAAAAATGTTAGAGATATCATATTTTGTACTACATTAGTGTACAATCTAATGTGACAAGTGGTGTGTGCTACGTCAATTAATTATTTCATTGGATGTTAATCGTATGCATTACTTGCCATGGAGGATGTAGAGCGACGACATAAATTTATCATTTTATATTGTTTTTGTTTGACAATTTCCAAGAATTATCTTGAAGTTTGGTTTTGATTTCTCTTTAGGGGGAGTTTGCTAGTTTGATTTCTCTTTATAGGAGAGTTGCTTCATTTTAATTTTTTTTGTTTTGGTGTACATCTCTTTTGGATCTATGTGTGAAGGGTGGAGTTGTTTGATTTGTTAGATCTACTTCACTTGGTGCTCTGAGATCGTGGTGGCTCATGGGCATCTTTCTCCCTGTCCCAATATGATTTGAGATTTTTGTTCTCACATGATCGCTGTGTAACACGAGATTTAATGATTTTATTGATCTGTGCAATCTTGCGGTTCCTAACACACCCCGATCTAAATCAGGGCATGCTGGCCGTCACGTGAGAGTGACGTAACCATGTGCACAATGCGGAAGCAAAAGAGATATAAGGAATTTCAAATGAATAAAAACCAAACTACTAGCAGTACTAGCTAAGATAAAGTGCTAGTACGAGATTAAGTGTGAAATACACAACTAGAGCATAAATAGCCTAAGTGCAATCAAGCATAACAAGTACTAATTATACAACACCCAAGGGTGATCCTACATTTATGATGTTCTGTCAGAACCACCGTTGAAATCCCCGTGAGCCACCAAAGCACTTCTACCTAAATACTTGGAGGGGCGCAAAACAGAAAGTGTGAGTGGGCAAAAACAAAGTTTTTCAAAATCATTTCATTTCTCAAAAGTTCTAACCCCTCGCGGTAAAACCTGTATAATTTCCCAGAAAAATATATATACTAGAACAGAAAATCATGCTCAAGATGAAAATCCATAGAAGTATACCATGTCAAAGTATCTCAATGCAATGCCATAAGTAGTCCAGAGAAAATATATCAATGTCAAATGTCGCATCAGTCGAATCCTTCTAACTCAAACTGTATGGCTAAGTCTATAGCTCATAACCAATCTCAATCATATCATATCAAATCCTGCACATGAGTCAGAACCACCTAAAGTGGTCTGTACGACAAGACTAGGTGTAAAATAAATATGCTTTAGAGTTACGATCACGTGAAGACTGTGCGAATGAACACGAGTCACCTATGAGTTAGAACCACCTAAAATGGTATGTACGACAAGCATGTGCACCTAACTTGGATTTAAGGTAAGCATATGGTGCGGGAGGTGAACATCATGTGAAGGACTGTGCCCTAACTCTGGGCGGGAGCACTAACACCAGGGTGCAGGTTTATGAGCTCTCAATGCATCACATCATATCTCACATAATTAAAGCAATCCCATATCTTTAATTTATGAACTTACCTGGCACTTACATGTGCGTCCGCAGCACCAATCATAAATATATGCAACTGCTAATGCATAAATAAAATAGGCAGATACTTTGCATGGTATTTCAAAACGTATACTCATTCAAATTCATTTTCTGAGCAAAATCTCAAGTATATAGGTATATACGGAAAACCAAAAGCCCACTCACTGATATGTCGAAGGGTCGTAGCCCCCTAGCCTCGATTGATGATGCTCGTCCTCAGAATAGGTCTCACATATATGCAAAATAATTGAATAAACGTTATTTAAAGCACATACACAAAACTAGGAAATAACTTCTCATACAATGCTCAAATGGGGTATTTGAATATACCACCATGACCTACTCAACCTCAGAAACATTCCCATATTTTTAGAAAAAATTTCCGATCACCCACGCGCCCTCACTCGCCGGCCAAGGCACCGCCAGACGTGCGGCTCACGTGCAGGCACGTGCCTGGCACACCAAACGGATTCCCTAACAGCGTCAAGGAATATTCCATTAAATATAAGCATATACCGTTAAATATACATGAAGCCGTTAATTGCCGTTAGGAATATTCCGTCAAAGTTGACAGAATATTCGTCTTCTTCTCCGGTAAGTCATCAAATTCCGTCGCCGTCGCCGGAAACTGGGAAAAATTTCTAAACTTCATATCTTCTTCATTTCTCAACCAAAATTCATGAAACTTAAACCAAAATGAAGCTTACAACGAGAAGAACAAACCTTACCAAATTTAAGCCCTAAAATTCACGGGATCGTGCCTGAAAAAGGCACGATAGTCTGACCAACTCTACAACTCGTCGAACATGAGCCTCCCGACATCCAAATCGCTCCAAAGTTATTCCCCGAGCTTTGTGAAGGTGTTTTAAGGCTCCCTATAACCTTAAAATTCCTAGAAAAGTTCACAATCATGAATGCATGAACAGTACTCCAAATCAGGGTTCTTGGGTTTTCGAGGGTTTCACGTACCAAAAATGGTATAGAACAACTCCTGAACTTACTAGGAGTTCAAAGATGCCAACTACACCTTTGGCTTGGAAGTTGTCGGTACGTTGTACGGAAAATGGATAAAATCTGAGATAAGGGTCAACGGGTTGCTTGGGTGTATGTGAGTGGTCCTAGTTTGGGTTACCAACCAAAACAAACAAAAGCTTAAGTTCTAGTTAGGTCCAAATTTTTTAGAAACTTAACATATTGGACCATCTCTAAAAGCAGGTCACACACAGCACACCTCAACGTCCAAGGGAAAAATAGACATTTCACACTGACGATAAAATAATTCGGGACGGGCTGTCATAGTTCCTGATGAGCTCGACTTTCTACAAGCACTTGAAGTTTACTCATTGTTTTGCGATTGGTGGTGCTTTATTGTAATATGTTTAGATCTAGTTTGTAGGAACTATTGTGGAATTGAATTCTTCATAATATATATTTATAATGCCCTTTTTTTTCAAGAATAATGCTTGGTTACTAAAAAATGACTAAGAACTCCTACTCAAAATTTTGTGTTCGAATCATACAGCTTTGTACTTATGATCAGAAACTGTTCATATTATGAATTACTTTGTAAAGATTATCTTTACAAAAAAAAAAAATTAAAAACTAAGGTCGTATTGTCAATCTATTATAGTAAATAAATAGATGGTTCGTAAAGTTTTTACCAATTTCGTTCATCTGTTTTATACTATTCGATGACTAAACGATCTTAGTTTCAATTGATTTTTTGCAGAGGCGACCTTTATAGAGTGATTTACAATATGAACGATTCCGATCATAAATACAAAGTTTTATAAATGGACATAAACGATTTTGTGTGGAGCTCATACTCATCTCTTTTGAGTAGCCAAGTATTGTTTTTTGAATAAATAAAATATTTATTTTCAAAACAAACAACAAACACTTTATTGTTATTGCTTATAATAATTATGACTTTGAAAACCAGGAGCATGATTTGAGTAAAAAAAAAATATATAGAAAGTCTAAAATAATTTTTTTTTGTTTTTGTTTTAGCTAAAATTTAAGGGGTGTATTCAATTGGGATTTTGAGGGATTTTAATTCTTTTAATGAATCTATGGGTATTCTTTTAAGTGATTCTCTAAAATTCAAGGTGTATTCAATTAGAATTTTAAAATATATTTTTTTTAAAATCTTTAGAATTCCGGATGTATTCAATTAGGATTTTAAAGAAGTTTATAACATTCCAAGTGTATTCAATTAGAAGTTGATTTTTTTTCAAGAATTTGAGAAAGTTGAGAAATTAGAGGGAATTTGAGAGATTTAGTAGTGTATTTTAAGCATCCACAAATCTCACATTTCCCCATGAGATTTCGAGGGAATATTTGAAATCAAAATTTTATATGGAATCTCTACAAATCAATTAAACTCCATAAAAATTCAAGGATTTATAAATCGATTAGAGTCTCTCAAATTCTCAATTGAATACACCTCAATATAAAAATAGTTAGTATGATCTAAGATGCTCTAAGTCCTGACACAAAAACCTTTGTATTTAATTTTATTAAAGTAATGCTAGAGAGACTACATATATTATATTGGTGTACGGTCACATGTGACAAGTGATGCATACCATCAAATATTCAATGAAATAAATTTATTAATTAACATGACATATACACACCACTTACCACATCATATGGTCAAGAAATATGATATAAAAAAGTGGTCTCCCTAGCATTTCTATTTTGTTATGTATCTTTTATACATCACTTGCCACATCATATGGTCCAGAAATATGATATAAAAATGTGGTCTCCCTAGCATTTCTATTTACATTAATTGGTGGGAATAAATTGATATCAAACTTGCCATCTACGAAATTTGAACTTTAGACCTTTAACTTATAAGTGAAGGAATATCACTAGACATTCTTAGTAAGTGACTCTACTATTCTAATTTCTATAGCAATTTATACATCACAGGCTGAAACGGGTGAAATCAAATGGCTTTACTTAAACGCTACTGCAATTACATGCGGAGAGATGATCAAAAGAGTCCCGACTTTTGATTTTAATTATAGACTTATTTTTAGCTATGTCCCTTGAAATTCGATTTTGATTTCACTTTGTCACCTGTAACTCAACAGTCACAACTTTACTTTCTCAAACTCAAAATTCATTCCACTTTGACTTGTGAAATCCCTTTTCTCTCGGAAACTCAAAAGTCGGCCTCTGAAACGTACGGGGGACCCACCACCCAATGCACATGCACCAATGAATTTGATTATAAATTTTCACTATGCGTTAACATTCAACAATAAATAAGAAATATTAAGTTTAAAAGAAGAAATTAAGAATTGAAAATTTTTGGGTTGCTGTGCTTGAGTTGCAGAGATGAAAAATATAAAATAAAAAAGAAATTGATTAGCCTTGTGCACCCAAACCAAACCACACATAACGGAATTAACATAATTAAGGCAATGTGAGCAATTTTGAGTTTTATAGAGTAAAATGACAGCTGTAATACCCTGAAAATTTAAATATATGAAATAGAATATTCATATTTATGAATATGTGGAGAAAATCGAAAATAAATCGATTTATGGTTATGAGAATTTAATTGAGGAATTTTAAAATTTTGTTACCGGAAATTATCATAATTTACGTATTTGTATTATTGAGATTTTATATTATTTTTCGAGAATTTATATTAATTCATTTGAATTTAGATTTTAATTAAACTAATTACGAAGAGTGAAGTTTGAAAATTAATTATTTAAAATCCGTACACCAGAGGTCACAATTTATGTTTTTAAATAGAACTTGATCTCACGAACACGTAGAAGCAAACCGTTCGTGAAACAGAATTATAACGAAAGAGTTATTAACGTTTAAGGTTAGGGACATTTTTGTAATTTTGGCTTGATCTAGAAGGCTTGAGATATCCGACGGGTTTTTTGCCCATTTTTCCTGCGATTCATGGTCAACCACTTCTACCAAACACCTACCCAACCTCCCCTCTACCATTTCCATCCCAAATTT